ATGATGAGGGCAACAAATGTATAGATGTGCTTTACACAATTGATCTATGTATTGTGATAAATTGTATGAGCCCCAATAAATTGATTAATTAAAAAAAAAAAAGAAATAGACAATAAATTAGACATATAAACATGTTTGTCTGAAAATTTCATACAAAATGCAAACAACAAACTGAATAAAATTGTATGTAGCAAATACAACAAAGGGATGATATCCTTAATATAGAAAAGGCTCATAAGCTTAATAAAAATGCCACTGGGGCAGGGGGAAGGCTAAATATCACAATGAAAAAATATGTATGGCAAGGACATCAAGATTGTTCAATTCACAATTGGAATGCAAATTGAATCACTAAAGTTATTTTTACCTATCACATTAGTAAAGCTAAAAACATAAGACTATTTAATGCTGACAAAGATACGTAAGAATGGCCAGCAGACTCATTGGAGGGGCTCATGGAGCCCCCCATATTCCAGAATAAAACTGCACTCCATAGGATTTTCAGTACAATCAACTTTGGAAGCACATCATAAAAAATATTTTCAAACCTCTAACATTTCAGCTACTAGCCAAGCCTTAACCTTTGGTGCCACCCAGGACCTCTCTGATCATGTCCAGAAGGCCTAGAGAAGAAGAGAGGACGTTGTTCCTCTTGGAGGCCTGGAGGCCTTCCTGTCGTCTACTGAGGGATTTCCAGCACCTGTGCCCAGGCATAGCTCCGATCCCCTAACTTGTGCTTTCACCTCCGGGCTCAGAAGTAAGGAGGACAAAGTTTTCCATAATAAACATCTATAAGCATGTTCATATAGAATGTATGATGAAGACATTTATACTTACCTTCACTTTTCCCTGAAAAAGAAAATAAAATGTTCATTACTACCAACTCCTTCTATATATACATTTTAACATGCTATACTTTCATTAAAAAAAACAAAAACAAACAAGACTGTTCAATACTGGTTCATTTTAAACCATCATTTCTTCCATATAAGGAAAACCTTAATGTGCCACTCTTGTGACTGCACGATTTGAATTGTGCCTGGTTTGATGACATGATGTCATCTGGCATCCAGAGAAAGAATAGTTTCAACTCACATAAGATTTAATATAGGCTGACAGAAGAGAAAAATCTAATCCATCGTCTAAGAGTACCATTAAATATCTTCCAGATTTACTGCTAGCTGGCTAGCAGACAGCACACTTACTTATCCTAAAGCTGGCACCGTTCCTGTTAAAGGTCTGTGTTACTGCTTTCGGTTCTCCAGACTGGCATTAGAGAAATTCACCTCAATCATGAACACTTTTTAAAGTCGATGTGTAAGGCTGGAATTATGCACAATACACCATTTATGTGTAGCCGCTCATTTATTGTCCATTTCTTAAAAAATCATTACATGATTATAAAAATAATATATGCTCATTGCAGGCACCTGTTGTTTCAAAAATGAAACCAAAGAAATAAAAAAGCAATCATAACTCCCTGATCCAAAGATAAATACATTTACATTTTAGTGTTTGCATAAGTAATTAGATGATAGATTTCATAAAACTATATTACACATATACTCACAAACTTGCTTTATTTTTTACCCAACAGACTATTGATTATTTATAATATAAATGAATAAAAATTTATTGTAACACGGTGGCTTTATTCTCTAATTCACTGCAATACAGTCAATTCCACCTCATAGTAACCCTACAGGACAAAGTAGAACTGCCCCCGTGGGTTTCTAAGACAGTACATCTTCACAGCAGCAAACATCCTCACTGTTCACCTACAGAGAGGCTGCAGGTTTCAAACTGCACACTAACCCCTTACAATTAGCAACCTAACACCTAACCCACCATGCCACCAGAGCTCCCAGTTTTATTCCTGTATGGGGATATGCCAAAACTCATTTAGTCAGTCTACTCGTGATAAACATTGCAGACTGCTCACATTTATCTTTAAGATATGTGAGGGTGGTTAATTAAACTATCAAGTCATGATGTGACTGCATAGTGAAGATCATCTCTTGTCTATGAACCTACATTTCATCTTATATGAAATCAATAGTTTCACTGAGTCAATGCATGTGACTCCTTAACCTTAAAGCCTTGTTTAAAGATTTTCTTTCATTTCTAATCTAAGAGAAACCGGTCTGCCAGCAGTTAGAGAATGATGTAATCTCTTCACTTTTCAGCAGGATCTTTATACTTATTGACTGTATGAGATCAGCATCTCTTCAAATAAATTTTTAAAATGAAAACCATACACATTTACTAAAAGTGCAGGGGAGATTTTTCACAGTAAGCACATATTCAAAGTAAACACGGATATTTATTTCCAAAGGAAAAAGTCTGAAATCATACAATGACATGGTTTATTCAACAAGCCCTTTTCTTATAATAGGTTGAACAGAATTTGTGAACTTTAATTTGATGTCTCCCATGACCCCTATGAAAGAGGCCTGGTGTCACATTAAACAAGCCCTCAGATGCTAATCAAAAGGGCGGTGGTTCAAGCCTATCAAGTGCTCTGTGGAAGAAAAATGAGGCTGTCAGCTTATACACAAACATGTTCTCTCTCTCACTGCCATTGAGTCAATGCTGACGCATAAGGACCCCCTGTGGGTTTCTGAGACTAACTGCTTACAGGAGTAGAAAGCTCGTCTTTCTCCCATGGAGCTGCTGGTTTCCAACCGCTGACCAGGCAGATCGCAGCCCAATGTGTAACCACCACGGAAATCCTAGGGGTCATGTTACTCTGTCCTGCTGGCCCAGTCAGAATCAAAGGCCATGCGGTTGGTTCTTGGTATGGCGCCTATTCTAACTTGAGGCACTGGATTTAGTTTATGGGTTTATGGAACCATAGCAAGTTCACTGCTAGTGAGTTGATGTTGACTCACTGCCCGTGGGAGTTTCCGAGGCTGTAAGTCTTTATGGGAGCAGAAAGCTCTGTCTTTCTCCTGAGGAGCCACTGATGGAAGCTAAGAAGATATTAGTAATTTAATGGTAAAATTCTTGCCTTCTGCCCAGGATGTCCGGCTTTGATTCCCAGCCATCGCACCTCAAACACCTCTCACACTGGTCCATCACTGGAGGCTGGCATGAAGCATAATGCTGCTGTGCTGAACAGCAAAGCCTCCAGACGAAGACAAGCTAAGGAGGAAGCCTGGAGATCTGCTTCCAAAAATCAGTGGGAGCTCTCTGGACGAAGGCAGCCAGAGCCCCTTGCGCATGGTGCCAGCACGGGTCAATGGCAGCTAACGCAACGGCAGCAACAGGGCACCTAAACTCTGACTCGCGGCAACCCCGAACGCCACAGAGTGACGCGCTGCCCAGCCCTCGGCTGTGCCCGTGGCCAGTTGTGGATCTCACGACTGCGATGGGTTTCAAGCGCACATTGGCCAAGCCTGTCTTCCCAAACCGTGCCTCGCACCTCATCAACAGTACACAGCCACGGGCTTTCCATGAACGGAGGAGAACCATTTTCACTGCTCATTTAAGCTATCTCTTTTGTGCCAAGCTCCGGAGTCAGAGGTGACACAGATAATGTTGCTCATATGTCCAAAGTACTATGGAAAACCAGCAGCTCTAGCAAATGAGTTTTAAGTTAATCAAATGCGGCAGTGAAACGGGCAGAGAGAAATAACATGATCAAAGAAAGTTCTTTAGAAGAGACCCAACATTTGCAGCTAGGCCTTCAATTGAGTATAATTAGAAAATAAAATATGTTTGTAACATATCAAGATGTATGGATTCAAACTCAGACTCACAGCACAGGTGATTTACTTCAAGTTGTGGGCTATTTTGATATTCATTTAGTAGGAAGATGAGTGAAAACAGTAGGAAAAAATGAACACATGCTAGTTTTATCTGCAAAATCCATTTAGAAATAAACATATCTCCTTAAGCTCCACGTAATGATACTCTAATACTATAAGCATGTTACGAAAATACTCATTTTGGGGGGAGGGGAGGAAAAAAGAGGAGCTGATCCCAGGGGCTCAAGTAGAAAGAAAATGTTTTGGAAGTACTGATGGCAACATACGTACAAGTGTGCTTAATACAATTGAATGATGGATTGTTATAAAATTTGTAAGAGCCCCCAACAAAATGATTAATAAAAAAGAAAATACTCATTTTACAGTATATTTTAACCAACTATTTACTGCAAGAATGAGACCGATTATTCTGTGGAAACAGGACTGTGAGTTCTATCAACTCAAATGCTTTTGCAGACCTTTCAATTGCCTCCCTCTTCCTCCTAACCCAAGTTCACTGTCTGATAAATCACAGAACAGCACAAACAATTACTCACCTTGACGAGACGCTAAAGGACTCAAAGGCCTTTTAATTGTCTGTGGCCTAGAAATAAAAGAGTATAAAATATTCACAGTATAAAATATTCATCCTACAAATCACATTTTCATTATTTAGGTAAAGGGGAAATTATCTCTAAAAGTTGTTTCATGCCTATATCCATCCAAAATCAAATTGTTTTACTGAGATTCAGAAATATTTCACTTTCTCTAATTGTTTTAAGGGAGAGTGGTTGCTGTTTGCTTAGAGATGATAGCTCCTAATCTGTTCCCATTGTAACAGCCAGAAGGTCATTTCCTAATTACTTCTTCAAACAGAGGGAGAAATATGTCAAGTTCCTTTCCTAGAATCAACAAGCGCACAAGCACGCAACATTGGGTGAACCCAAAACTGAAAGGCTTTTGAGCAAGCAAATAACTAATTATCCAAAACAAGCACTGAAATGTAAACGGGGCAAAAAACATTGTGGGCAGATTCTTTTCCACTTGGGTAATTCTAGCTATATCAATTTGTCTTGTGGCCATCAGATGTGTAATGATTTAAATAAAAAGGAAAATCATAGTAATAAAACTCAGAAGTTCTCTGGAGAGTTATTAAGTCACTATAATATTTTTAAATCATCAAATAAGTATGTATTGAGTTAGCAAACTGTAGGTGTTGCTTTAATGGCCATAACTTAGAACTTTCAAATTTGCACAACTTGTGGTATTTAGGAGAAAAACAATATGCATGCTATATTTCCACACACTAAATATAATACATTTACTGCCTCATACACTGTTTATATTATTAGAACAATTATGGGGATCAGTTATAACTTTAAACAAATCAAACATTTAAGCTGCATTGTTTTAGGTCACATTTAAAAAAAAATAAAAGTCTCTTTAAAGTAAGTCAATATAGCCAAACACCTTTCTTGATTTTAAACCATGTAGTGTTGTTCCCTTATTCTATTCACACAACTGCCTCTTGACTCATGTTAAGGTTCTGCATGAGCACAATTAAGTGTTCTGGAATTCCTATTCTTCTCAAAGCTACCCATAGTTTATGGGCCACATAGTGCAGTGGTTCTCAACCTGTGGGTCACGACCCTTTGGGGGGGATGAATGACTGTTTCACAGGGGTCGCCCAAATCACAACAGTAGCAAAATTACAGTGATGAAGTAGCAACGAAAATAATTTTATGGTTCGGGGGGAGGTCACCACAACATGAGGAACTGTATTAAAGGGTCAAAGTATTAGGAAGGTTGAGAACCACTGACATAGTGGAATGCTTTGCATGAGCAATGAGACACAAGTAAACATCTTTCTGGTATTCTCTACTTTCAGCCAAGATCCATCTGATATCAACAAAGTTATCTCTTGTTCCACGTCCTCTTCTGAATCCAGCCTTAGCCTCTGGCAGCTCCTTGTCAATATACTGCTGCAACTGTTACTGAATGATCTTCAGCAATGTTTTACTTGCATGTGATATTAATAACACTGTTCAATAATTTCCACATTCTATGGAGTCACCTTTCTTTGGAATGGGCGAAATATGGATCTCTTTCAGTTAATTAGCCAGATAACCTATCTTACAAATTTCTTAAAATAAACTAGTGAGCGCTTCCAGAGCTTCAGCAGAATGTTGAAACAATTCAACTGGCATGCCATCAATACCTGAAGCTTTGCTTTCGGCTAATGCCATCAGTGCAGCTTGGACTTCTTCATTAGTACCATTGGGTCTTGATTGTGTGTTCTCTCTTGAAATGGCGGAATGTCAACTATTTCTTTTTGATACAGTGCCTCTGTATATTCTTTCCATCTTCTTTAGACACTTCCTGCATTGTTCAATATTTCCCCATAGAATCAGAATTGACACAATGGCAGTGAGTTTTCTTTTATTTCATCATGGCTTCCATTTGCTTTAGCTATTCTAGAATGAAAAGCAAATTTCAGAATATCTTTGGACATCCACTTTGGCCTTTTCTTTCTGTCCTGTCTTTCTAATGTTCTTCTGCTTTCTTCAGTGCATTACGAACTTTATGTTCCTTACAGCCCATCAGGTCTTCTGTCAATAGTGAGATGTTCTCAAAATTCAAGTAGAAGATTCTCAAGGTCATAATCTGGCTCTCTCTCGTGGACTTGTAATTTTCTTCATTTTAACTTACACGTGACCAATTGATAGTCTGTTCCACAGTCAGCCCCTGGCCTTGTCTTGGCTGCTGATATTCAACATCTCCATCATCTCTTCCCAGAGATGTAGTCAATTTGATTTCTGTGTGTCCCATATGGGGAAGACCAAATGGACAGTCCTCATTTGTGTTGTTGAAAAAATGTATGTGCAGTGAAGAAGTCATTGGTCTTGTAAAATTCTACCATGCGTTCTCCAGCTTGATATCTGTCAACAATACCCTATTTTCCAAATACTGTTCCTACCTCTGTTTCCAACTTTGAATTCCAATCTTCAATAACTATCAATGCATCTTGACTGCATGTTTGAGCAAGTTCATACTGAAGACGTTGGTAGAATTCTTCAATTTCTTCCACACAAGCTTTAGCAAGGAGTCCTGGTAGCATAGTAGTTACACGTTGAATTGCTAACTACAAGGTTAACAGTTTGAAACCACCAGCACTTCTGAGGGAGAGAGATGAGGCTTTCTACTCCTGTAAAGAGATGCAGTCTCAGAGACCCACACAGGTAGTTCTACCCTGTCCTATCAAGTTATTATGAGTTAGAATCAACTTGACGGCAGTAAGTTTGGGTGAAAGCTTTAGTGATTAGTGCACAAATTTGAATCGTTGTGTTGATTGGATTTCCTTATATGCAGATAGATATTATTCTATTACAGGCAGCATTATATTTCAAGATAGATCTTGAAATGTCCTTTTTGAAGCGACGCCATTCCTCTTGAATTTTTCATGCCTGGTACAGTAAACCACCTGATTGTCTGATTCTAAATGGACAATGCCAGTTCATTTCAGTTCACTACTGCCTAAGATATCAACCTTTATGTGGTCCATTTCATTTTTGATGACTTCCAATTCTCCTAGATCCACACTTCATACATTCCAAGTTCCAAAGATAAATAGATTTTTTTCAGCCTCGTCAGCAAATGAAGGTTCCAAAGGCTTTACATCTAAGGCTTTATTCCATTCACATCATTATTGCTGACTCTCCCTCCAGCCTATTTGGAGCGCCGTCTGACCTCAGGGGCTTATCTGCCAGCACTGTATCTGACAGTGTTCTGTTGCTCTTCCTGAGGTGTGGAGTGGTTACGTCCTCAGAAATTATGGCGTATTCCTCCTTTGTGGTTTATTCTTAGTCTGGAACTCTGCTGAAACCTCTTCCCCTTGAGTGACCTTGCTGGTCTTTGAAATACCAGTGACAGAGCTTCCAGGTCCGTAACCACACAGAAACCACTACAGTAAGACAACCTGGCCAACAAGTGGTGACTGCGGAATACCGGACATTAGAAAGAGAATGAGGAAATGAAGATAGTAATGCATGCCTGGATGCAAACGATCATTTTTTTTGGCATGTAATGTGTAATGTATGTATTATTTGTGCAAAAATACGGTACATGATCTTTGGAAATTAAGTAAACCTCTCTGGCTCTGGGTTAGCTTGTCTGTAAAATAAGATTCTATAATCCACTCAAGGAATGGAAGCTGAGTATGATACTCCACAGGTTTAAGATTCTCAATATTTTAAAGAAGAAAGATTTGTTGAAATTCATTTCTGCAGTTTTAGTCAAATCAGAATTGAATTAAGTTAATGATTCGGTACATTTCTGTGTCCAAACATTCATTAACACCGTAAATTTCATTTATAATTTATAATCACTATAATTTTGTTCATATTAAGGGGAAATAGAAACATCTTACAGGGATCTCTAGATGAAAAGAATACATACTTGAAACAATTTTCTTCATAGATGACATTCCATATCTTCCAAGCGTCTGGCCCCTTGTAACCTGTATAACGCTCCGGATTAAGGAGCAAATCTACATATTCAGCATCAGGAGATTGTATATCTGGAAGACAAAATGTTTTACTAACCCTTTCTTTTCTTTGCTGTCTTTGAAAGCTATTACACGCAACTGTATCCCAGTGATTCTAAGGCATCAAAAATGTAAGAATGCAACTAAGATTTTAAAACAACTTCTCAGAAAAAGAAAAAAAGGAAGAATAAACACAACCATTGGTTACAAGAAAAAAAATCCTGATTTTAGAAATAGTGAGAAATAAAAATATGTGGCTCTTAAAACCAAAGTATCATTGTCATTAAATTCCAATCAGCTACCCGAAAGATATGCTATGCACTTCCCTCCCTCATTAACAGCAAGCATCAGCAACCAAGGTAAATGGAATCGTGTTAGCATCATTTCTCGTTTCCATATGCAAGCGCACTGGCACATGCAGGTCCATTGCTGACTACCAAATACTTTCTTCTTAGATGATCACCACTAGGATCCAAGATCCCGCTATCCCAAACACATAATCCTAAATATGGCATGGGGGAGCAGGGGGAGGACATGCAGGATTATCATGCCAGTGTTATTTATAAGAGGCAAAACTGGAAGCAACCTAAATGTTCATCATAGCTAATAGTTAGGGGCCTGAGCTCTGGAGCCAGATGACTTGGACTAGGAACCACCCAGTAGTTTATTGGCTGTGTGTTTGGGAAGGTTCTGTAAATTCTCTGTGCCTAAGTGTCATCAAGAGGGGTCCTGGTAAGACAAAATGGGTGCATAAGCAAATGTGGTGAAGAAAGCTGATGGTGCCCAGCTATCAAAAGATATAGCATCTGAGGTCTTAAAGGCTTGAAGATAAACAAGCGGACATCTAGCTGAGAAGCAGCAAAGCCCACATCAAAGAAGCACACCAGCCTATGTGATCATGAGATGGCAATGGGATAAGGTATCAAGCATCAAAGACCCAGAACAAAAAACCTTATCATTGTGAACAAGAGGGAGTGTGGAGTGGAGACCCAAAGCCGATCTGGAGACAACTGGACATCCATTTACAGAAGGATCACAAGGAAGAGACGAGCCAGTCATGGTGCAATGTAGCACTGATGAAACACACAACTTTCCTCTAGTTCTTTAATGCTTCCTCTCCCCCACTATCATGATCCCAATTCTACCTTACAAATCCAGCTAGACCGGAGCATGTATACGGGTACAGATCAGAGCTGGAAACACAGGGAATCCAGGGCCTATAAACCCCTCAGGACCCATATTGAGAGTAGTAATACCAGGAAGTTAAGGAAAAGGTGGGGGGAGAGAGGGGAAACCGATCACAATGATCTACATATAACCGGGGGGACAGACAACAGAATAGTGGGTGAAGGGAGACATCAGACAGTGTAAGACATGAAATAATAATAACAATTTATAAATTATCAACAGTTCATGATGGAGGGAAGGAGGGGGATGGGGGGAAATGAGGAGCTGATACCAAGGACTCAAGTAGAAAGAAAATGTTTTGAGAATGATGATGGCAAAAAATGTACAAATGTGCTCGATACAATGGATGGATGTAGGGATTGTGATGAGTTGTACAAGCCCCCAACAAGATGATTAAAAAAAGGTGGGGTGGGGGGGTGGGGTCCTGGTAGCATAATGGGTTACAGTTGGGCACTAACTGCCCAGTCAGCAGTTTGAAACCACCAGCCACTTCGTAGGAGAAAAAAGTTTGCAACTCCCGTAAGGAGTTCGTCTTGGAAACCCATGGACTATTTGTACCCTGTGCTTTAGGGTCCCCAGGTGGCGGCATCAATCCAATGGAGAGAGAGAGAGAGAGAGAGAGAGAGAGAGGCCTTACAACCTCACTGTTAGTAGTCCAACACCTACCTGACAATTCGACCACACAGAACAATGATGGGGTATAATAAATGTTAGTTGAGAGTATTGGTAATAAAACTGTTAAATACAAAGGCTATTTAATAATATGAAAAGAGCATTACAGAAAATCCACTTGCAGACAGGTGTATATATGTTCCCACTGCCATCAAGTCAAATCTGACTCATAACAACCCAATATAGGGTTTCTAAGACTATGAATTTAAAGGGGAACAGACAGACTCACCTTTCTCCTGCAGAACAGCTAATGGGGTTGAAGTGCTATCCTTACAGTTAGCTTATCTCATCGTGCCACCAGAGCTCTCTTATACACGGGCAGATAAGGAAGCACACTCATAGAAACTTGTGTGATACTGGTTCTTTTTTTCATTTCTTATGCCCTATAGCTTTCTGTAATACGTTGTCATTTCAAAGCAAAAAAGATGGCCCCAGTCCTCCAGCTGCTTTGTGAAAGTATTTAATACCCAACTCATCTATAAGGCTTAAGACAGGCAATCAAGATAGATGACACAAGCCTGGGCACAAAGGGACTTACAAGAGACTCCATTCGGCCTTCAAGAATCCCGACTTCCGGGGGCGGGGAAATGAGCTGACACCAAGGGTTCAAGCGGAAAGAAAATGTTTTGAAATGATGATGGCAGCACATGTACAAATGTGCTCGATACAACAGATGGATGGATGGATTGTGATAAGAGCTGTAAGAGCCCCCAATAAAATTATATTTAAAAAAAGGAATACGTACTTCTTCCCATTTATTTTTTTCATTTAAGTATACTAGAGGCATAAATAAAGGGGAAGTTACTTCTAGAACAACACAATGACAGCATAGCAGAGATCCCAAAACAGAAGTGGCAATTAAACTAAGTAGATGAAGTAAATATAAGAACTTTAAAGAGCAATATTAACATGAACCCATCTAGTTCAGAGATAGCCCTGTCCGTCTCAGGTGAGTCTACATGTGCTGTCGCTGGGTAGCAAAACATAATAAACAAACCCCGGTTTCTCAAAGATACATAAATAATGCTCAGTATCAATATCTACTTTAGGAGCCTGGGTGGCACAATGGATTAAAAATTGGGCTGCTCACTGGAGACACAGTGCGGGAGTAGTGCACGGTGTGGCCCCATCATGCTGGGCAAGGCACTGAGGACATGCAGCAGGGGGAGCAGAGTGATGAAACCCTCGGGGAATACCAAAAATAGACTTGGGAGACAGAGTGTGGCACCTCATCAGACTCGACTGGAAAACACTCATAAAGGCCAACAACCTTGAAGTATTTTTAGGCTTTTCCATTTTGTCAGTGGCTTTCTTTTTGTTATTGTTATTTTGTTCTTGCTTTCTGCTGTTGTTGTTATTGTTTTGTTGGTTTTGACTTCCTTTGTTATTTTATTTGGCTTTGCCTGGTTTTTGCACTTATTAATGTATCTGCATGTCTACCTAGATAAGATAGGCAGGATAATTAATTCGGAGATGAAAAGAACAGGACCAATGGTTCCGGGGGGAATTGGGAGAAAGGAATTGGGGGGGGGGGACCCAACCCAGGGGACAAGGGAACAACAAGTGAACCAAAATCAATGGAAGGAAGGTCGTATGATGCCTAGTGGGAATTACTAAACTCGAATGAAGGCCGAACATGATGGTGGGACAAGAGGAAAGTAAAAGGAAATAGAGAAAAGAACTAGGAGGCAAAGGACATTTATAGAGGCCTAAATACAGGCATGTGCATGTAAATATATATATAATAGGGGAATAGAACAATGTACGCATATCTATATGGTAAGAATTAAAGTTGCAAATGGCCATTGGGCTTCAACTCAAGTACTCCCTTAACACAAGAACACTTTGTTCTAACAATCCTGCATTCTGTGATGCTCATCTTCCTGACATGATCACTGAAGATGAAATGGGTGCATAAGCAAATGAGGTGAAGAAAGCTGATGGTGTCCAGCTATGAAAAGATACAGCATCTGGGGTCATAAAGGCTTGAAGATAAACAAGCAGTCATCTAGCTGAGAAGCAGCAATGCCCACATGGAAGAAGCACATCAGTCTGTGTGATCATGAGGTGTCGATGGGATCAGGTATGAAGCATCCAAGACTCAGAATAAAACCATACCAAAGGTGAATTGTCGGGAGAGGGGCATGGAGTGGAGACCCAATGCCCATCTGTAAGACAAATGGATATCCCCTCACAGAGGGGTCACAGGGAAGAGATGAGCCAGTCAGGGTGCAGTATAGCACCAATGAAACACACAACATTCCTCTAGTTTTTTGGTAATTCCTTCCCCCCACTATCATGATCTCAATTCTGTCTTACAAATCGGATTAGACCAGAACATGCACACTGCTACAGATAAGAGCCTGCAGCACAGGGAATACAGGATAGATAAACCCCTCAGGGTCAACAAGGAGAGTAGAGATACCAGGAGGAATAGGGGAGGGTGGGGGGAGAAAGGGGAACAGATCACAAGGATCAACTAGAACCCCCGCCCAGGGGCACAAAAACGGAAAAGTAGGTGAGCGGTGATGGAGGACGATGTAAGATATGGAAAAAATAATCTATAACGTATCAAGGATTCATGAGGGAGGGGGGCAGGGGAGGGAGAGGGAAGAAAATGGGAAGCTGATATCAGGGGCTCAAGTAGGAAGAGAATGCTTTGAAAATGATGAGGGCAGCATATGTGCAAATGTGCTTGAAACATTGGAGGAATGTATGGACTGTGATAAGAGATGTAAGAGGCCCCAATAAAAGTTTTTTTTTTTTAAAGTTGGGCTGCTAACCACAAGGTCAGTAGTTCAAATCCACCAGCCACTCCCAGGGAAGAAAGGTGAGGCTGTCTGCTCCTGTAAAGATTCACAGCCTCAAAAATGCTAAATTCTGTTCTGTCCTATAGGTCACAACTTGATGACAGAGGGAAAGAGTCAGAGAGATCTAGTAGTTTAAAAAAAAAACACCAAAAGCCTTATTTAAATGTTTACAATTTGAGCTAATTAAAGAAATAAACAGTTGCCTCGGAATTTTATGCCAAATAGTGCTTCTCTCCCTAACTTAAAAAATACATATTACTATGAGTCTATATTTTTGCACATGTTACTAAAAATATGTATTTTGCCATACAAGAAAAGCTCAAATTTCTAATAAAGACTTATACCTTCTAATCTGAACCTACA